GACACAGAACTAATTGCCATTACTCAGTTTCTTATTCTGATGACTAACATTCCCATGAACTTTTCAAAGGTCTAGCCAAAAGGTAAGACTTAATGTATTAAACTTTGGGATACATCAAGTTCACCTCCAAAGTCCTGACCCCCTTTGGTGAGTCATACCAGAAGCAGCAGGGGCGGAGTGACATTGTCATTGCTGCGTTCAGCTTTACTCCTTCCAGAGCCTTGTGTCATTGCACAACTGAATGAGAATCTCCTTTCTAATGCACTTTGATTCTTCCTAAGCCATCAAACACAGACAGCACTTTTTATTATTCTCAAAACAAATGCAACAAGCATTCCCCACAAAGGCATAACATCTCACAAACGGAAGCAGCTTAGGGCTCTCTTACTGATTGAGTGTTGGAAATGTTACCAGCAGTGTTGTCCAGTGACAGAAATGTTCTGTATCTACCCTGTTCAAGTCCACTGGCCACTGGAAAAGTACCTAGGGCGACTGAGAAACTCAAAGTGTTATTTTACTTAATTTTGATTAATTTTAATTCAAACAATCTTGTGTGCCTTATTTCCACAGAAATGTCAAGCTTCATGAAAAACTGGAAGGTGCTCCATACTCAAGAATGAAATAACTAAAAAACAGATGAAGCCTGAGTCCGTTTAGTTAGTGCACATCAACGCTGGTCAGAATTTAAGCAGAAAGAGAGCAGAGGGACAATTCTGTACGTCTCCTGGCATTCTCTGTAACTGGCAGCTCCTCAGCCAAAGATTCCTCCAGTAAAATGTGCAGTTCGTTTACTTTGAGTCTGTAATTGGTTTGGTGTACACATAGGAAAAGAATGAAACATTTAACAAAAGTAAGTGTGGTTTGGTTTAAAATATTATTAATCCTTCTTTGATTTTTCTTTCACGGCATGAAAGCCTCCAGGACAAAAGTTGTTCAGTTGGGGCCACATCCTCTCCTTGCCCCGTTAGTCAGCCCAAGTGCAAATCCCCCAAGACTTCAAAGGGAGCCTACTTAGGTCACTGTTGGCTGTGTGGAGTGAGAAATGACCTTAGCTCCATGTAAGGAGGAAAAGATTGCAGGAAAGCAGCAAAAGTGCAGAGCCCAAGGACCTGGAAAACATGGAATGCCAGCAAGAAGATAACCTTCACAGTCGGGGAGGGGAGCAGGGGAGCAGGAGCGCAGAGACGCATTCCACAGAAGCGGCTATGGTGATGGATTAGCCCAGGCCCTCCCGCCCACAGCACCTTCCACGGTCATCTGCCCTTCTGGTACAACACCTCCGTACACAAACGACGACAACCAAAACGCCCATGGGAGCAGCTGACAGCGCACCCAGGAGGCTAAGGCACACTTTCCCTGCACGACACGAACCACCAAAAAAGAGAAAAGGGAAAGGATGCAACGTGAAGATAAGCATTACAAAGACACTTTCTGCAGAAAATAAAAGGGAACGTATTCATCAGAAAATAATCCACTGTGATTGAAGGCTTTGCTTACCCCTTTCTGGATCCCCCCCGTGGGACCATTGAGAGTTTCTGGAGCAGAAAAACAGAAGAGAAAGGGATTTCTAACTCCTGGTTCAAGAAAAGTGAGCCAAGTTGCCCTGGCCTAGGTCATAAGCTTATGCAAAACCCCAAATATTTATGATGTCCATCAATAAAATACTGGTTGGTCTAGATTCCAATAGCTTCTTCCCTTTTAATTCACTTAGGAGGGGGGCGAAAAGTCAGTTGACTGGGAAAAAGGAAGAAGAGATCTGGAGGTTTGTTTAATAGTAACAGAACAAAATCAAGAAATCCTCGACTCTCTGGACCCTCGGGACTGTGAATCTTTTTTCGGTGTTCAATGTAAATAACACAGCAGCAAAAATAAAAAATGGTGATGCTGGCAACCCTGAGTTTCCTTGGATCTCTTTTCTTTATATCGAGACATAGATTTTTTTGATGGTCCCTCACATGAAAAAGCTCACAAATATAGACGCACAAAGTCTCTTTGATGAAGGTTGAAATGTCTTAGGTTTCATGGCTAAATACTCAGTCTGTTGAGTGAAAAATCTTTTGGACCTAAGATTCAGGGGCCTGTTTCAAATTTGGATCCGTTTGAAACTCTAACCTGTTTACCTTCTGGCTTTGTCTTCTGCATTCCCCCTTTCTTGCCCCTGGTTCTAGCGAGATTTTCCTATCAAAATAAAAGCACTTGAGTTTTCAAATCAATGGTTTTCTGACTGGCGAGTTCTAAGCTTTTTCACTGTCTATGCCTGAGTAGGCACAAACGGCCAGCAACGGAAAGCCCCTGGATTTATGGTCACTCCCGAAAGAAAACACGGCCATTCGGCGTTTGTCATTCTCCACACGGATAATAAGAGTAAAGGCTCCAAATTTTGCAACCATCACGCACAAATTCGATGTTTCATTTTAGTTTTGTATATTTCTCTTATTTACCACCCACAGGGTTAAGAATTATACGGAGAGGATCTTTTACCTCCAAACTTGCTGCACAGAGAGCACGTCCTAGATTCTGGAACTGAAAAGCACTAATCCAATCCCAGGTGCTAAAGGCAAACTATGTCTCTAGAATGAAACTAGTGGGTCAAAGTGACTGGGCATCTCCTAGGTTCCCTTGATCTCCAATAATCAACTCAGAGGTGATGGAGTCATTTGAGCATCTCCTCATCATTACTTTGCCCATAAAGGGACACATTTTTTTGAAGTCTTAATTTTAACTTATTTATGAGTGATGGTGACCACCTCTCATGTCACCAACAAAGCACAGGAAAGGGAGACACAGGAACCCACTCCGTGAGTAATCAGATCCTTCTCTGGCCATCTACATGGGTATCAGACACCCATTACTTGACCTCATCTGGAGAGGGAAGGCCTGGCCACACCACACTGGGACATCCAAGTCAGAGACGCCCATCAGCATCTAGCACAGGACAGAAGTCTCAGGCCACTTGGATTTTTGCGAAGAACTCTGAATTATCTTGGAATGAACACTGACCCAAAGTCTCTCATGGAAGTGTATTTTGTACACGTAAGTTTCCTAATTTGTCAGGCACTCCTCTGACGGTTTACATAGACGTGTTACAAGTTATGACACCATTATCTGTCAGGACAGACTTCACAGGACTTACACCATACTACACACACAGATTTCTCAGTGTGACTGGGCTGGTCCAAACAGTCTTTTTGGTCTCTTCCAATTCACCGTGACATATTTTCATTATGTGACATTCAGTGTGTCATTACTGTATCATACTCAAAGCTAAGCTTTGCAATCCCGAAACTTTCAACCACTATTTCATCTTTACCTTACATGTTTGGTTATTATAACAACGGGTCTATGCAAATAACAAATGTATCCACTGGAACTCACTCAATGCAAAAAACAAGTTTATAATAACAAGATTTAATGCATCATGTCACTCCTAAACTACTAAAATGCTTTGCAGACTTTGAATAGATATATCTTGAGGCTATATGTATGCTTGCAAAGAAAACAAACTTTCAAAAGAAAAATCCTTTCTGATTGAAGGAAACATTTTCAAAACTTTTGTGCCACCTCTAAAGCCAACAGCACTCATTTTCACTGGGGTGGGGGTAGGGGGCTCTCCTACTGAAAGTAAAAGATTGTAAGGACACAGCTGCCTTAAAAGCCCTAAAGCAAATAGTTCAACATTAATTAGCTACAGCAATGATTAATGCCAAGCAAGTGATTTCGAGAATGGCAGAAATTAAAACATGTACACATGTACGTGTGTATGTGTACCCTAAAATGGGTTATGGTTACTTTAGAGAAGACCTACACCCTGCCCACCATGCCCCATCCTTCCTGCTGGGTTTCCTAGTACACTGTCATATCCTGCAGAGCTGAGAGGCAAGAGCTGGATATACATTATAAGGCAAGGAGAGCCATGCGGCTTACGGTTAGTTAATCCAGCGGCCAAATTAAGAAAATAATTTGAGTCCAGCTTCCTAGTCTCTTTTCCTACTTCTAAAAATTATTTCCTGCTTTTACATTGAAAGTGATTTTCAATGCTATTCTTAGATATTTGGGGGTTAATCAAATTTCCACAAGCCGTGAAGAAGAGATAAAACACAACCCTTACTTTCTGAATTAATTTGATTTTTGTCTTTTGCGCTCCCAGCTATCAAGAATGTCGAATAAACCGGTTTTGATTCATAAATAATAGTTCCATTATATCTACTATGCCACTCGTCAGAGTACCTGAAATTTTAATTCACTTGTTCAGCTAAATTTCATCCTCAGTTCATGGCCATAAAATTCTTTATTGACAAACTTTCAAACCAACTTTGACTCTGAGGTATCTAGTCCACATTTTTCTTCGGTGTGGATATTAGTTTATTGAATAAGTGGCATCTGTTTTCCTCCACATCACTAGTAGAGTAGGTATTTCCTTTTGACAGCTTTGCAGGATTTATGAGTTTGCATGCTCTGAAGAAAAATAGTACTAAGCAAAAAATTCCAATTCATTACCTCTTGGTACTTAATTAAGTTCATACCCACGGCACACTGGAGGTGAACCCTGAAACGTCTGTGACAGCAGCGAGCAGCCAGCTATATTATCTTTGGAAGACAGAGAGGATTCTAATGATCCTGACCTCATTTTTCCATCTCTGATATTCACAACTGTTCCTCCTGTTTTGCTCCCCTTTCGCCTTGGACAGGACTGTATGCAAACAAGAGCAGATTCCTCTCAATACCCACTGTGTGTTCAGCCCTTCTAAACAATAAAGTCAAGCGGTGGCCTAACGGGACTCTGACCTTCCAGAACGCAGACACCTCTGATCACAGGGTTTTCCCCCAGGGGTGGCTGGAGGAGGTGACTGGCCCCTGTTCGGAAGGCAAGCGGTGGAGCTCACTAACCAAACACGCCAGGGGCAGGAAGAGTCGGGGTTACCTGTCGGGGTTCTGCGTGCACACGTGCATCTGTAGCAGGATCCTCTGCGTGAAAGTCTTAAAGCACTGCCCGCATTTCCAAAGATGCCAGTCACTGAACTCCGAGTGCAGCTGGCTTGTGGACGTGGGGCTCGCAAGCACTCGCTGGTTCTTCACGTTGATTTGGTTAAATCCTGACTCGATGGGCCCCGATTTGTCCAGGAGAGAGAAGTTCCTGCTGCACGGAGTCTGTGGGAAAACGACAGAGCGCTGCTGGGCCGGGGAGAGTTTGTTGCTCTTGCTGAAGGGCTGCAGGGCATCTTGTCTGCACATGGCTTCCATTACCGTTGAGGGGACATTTACTGGGAGAACAACATGGTTTTAGAAGATCAGTTTTATTAGCCCTTAAAATAAGCACAATAACATGCATTTTAAAACAATTCTTATAAATCAACATTTTAAAACTTTGTTTTTTCTGAACTCTGAATTAATATAACAGCAGACAATTTGATTTGAGGGGGGAAGCACTGTTATCAAAAATTGATAACTCATTCAATGCTTATTTAATATGCAACTACTACACGCTCAGGGTTGTTTGTACATGGTCTTTGCCCTCGCAGAGTTCACTTAAGACTTTAGACATTAGGACTCCATAATGAGGCCCCACAGTGCACCAGAGGTTTGGAGGGAGTTCAGATGGGAGGTACAGAAGAGAGGGGAAGAGAACGGTGGGGACTGCCCAGAGAGGGTGGTCTTGAGCAGTGCAGGGAAGGTAGATTCAGACCTTCCACCAGACCTTGCCAGCACAGGTATTCAAGAAAAACTGGCTGAAGAGATGAAGGGAACAATATGAAATGAAAGACACCTGGAGACAGGGGTCCAGCACACTGGTGAGATGATAAGACAGACTGACCAAGACAGACTGACACAAGCTCTCGACACTGTGGGAATAAGGCAGGAGGCAGGGAGGGAAAGACCTAAATCAACCTTTAAAGTCCAAAGAAATAAACAAATGACTTCAGGCCTAGGTAATAGGTGCAAACTGTTTCTGAGCAGAAATAGCAAGAAAAAAAAACCAGTGTTCAGGGAGGACTTGAGTGAGGCATGATTTACAGGCAGGGTGGCATGGATAAAGTCAGAATGGGAGGCAATGAGTATGGTGCTTGCAAACTGGGCTTTGAAATCAGAAAGACCTAGGTTCAAATCCTGACTCTACCTTTTATTAGCTTGGTGATCTTAGGCAAGTTATTTAATTTATCTGTGCCTTAGTTTCTCCTTCTGCAAAATGAAGATAGTGGTAGTAATAATCCTAAAAGTAACAGCAGATATGGTTGAGTGGGTGAGGTGGTATGGAACACTGAAATCCACATTGTCCTTGGTCAAATGTAAAATGGGTCACCCAAAAGATTGAGTGAGATAATGCACAGATAGCATTTGGTAAATGCTATGGTCACCACTCAATAGATGTTGAGCTCTATGAGCCCTGGTTTCCTCCTCTTTAAACCCCCTTTTATGAGGTTTAAATGAGATAATGAAAGTACTCATCACAGGGCCTACTGGCAACAATAGCCAATTCTTATTATTATAGAAGGAAAAGAGACTAGAATGAAGGAAGGTGGCCCTAAATTGGGGTGGTGAAAGTGAGAGTGAGGAAAGAATAGAAGAAATATTTTGGAGGAGAGAAACAATATACTTGAAATTTGTTTCCCTTTTTGTAAGTCATTATTGTGTTAATAATATATATCATGTATTCACTAGTCAACCTACAGTTTCAGAAGTCATTAGAACCTAATATGCTTAAAAACTATTATTCTTTTTTTTCAAGAACCTACTGTGTCAATAAATGTATTTATTGGTTATTTCAAGGGTCATAAAGATTAAAGACTATAAAGTGGACAAGAGAAGGAAATTAGAGACTAAAATATTTGAAAAGGTTGATTGGCAAAAATATTAGTGATGGGAAGTAAACCATGGCTGTTGGCCATTAGTTCAAGGCCACATGGAAGAAACACATGAACTAGGAGCTCTTATCCTTTCTAGCCAAAGACCACTGCTGAGGTTCACACATAGCACAAAGACTCAGGCGTGTTCAACTATGAAGAGAGAATGGCAGGGGACCATGACCGCAAAGGACTCCGTGCTTAAGTGGACAGGTAGACATCAGGCGTGGGGACACAGAGGGGTTGCTGTGCTGCCACTAAGCACATCAGAGCATTCTGTATAATCACATGTAATTAGACAAATCCAACAAAAGGAACAAGGCTCTGTTGGCATGATCTACCCTATCCTGAGAAGAAAAAATAAAGCAAGAGACTCACAGGCCTGGAGAGAGCCTAGAGTTTTCCTAGTTGGCAGTTCTTGACTCTGACTGTACCTGAGATTCACAAGGGAGATTTTTTAAAACTTAAATCAGAATCACTTGATAGAGTCTGGGCAACTGCATTTCTTTAAAGTTCCCCAAGTGCTTCTAATGTATAACTGGGGCTGAGAATCAGTAATCTAATCCTACTCTCTCTTATTACAAATAAAACAGTTCAAGTCCAAGAAAGTCCAATAACTTGCCCAGGGTCACACATTCAGTTAAGGGCACGGCTGAGCTAGAAGCTTTAGCTTTTTGACTTCCAGATCATTTGTTTCTGACCACAATCCTATACTGTCTCTGCTCACTAGTTGTGTTTCAAAAATAAAAAGGATGTTTTATAGCCAGTACATCTCACATGGACATATATGTTTCACATAAACATATAAGTCATATGTACATATAAATACATATATACCTATACACACATACATTATACAGATTTATGTACATATGTATTTTTATATATAAATATTTATGTAAAATTCCAACTTCTGGGGCAAAAGTGTATAATTAATATGAAATTTGTCCATACATTTTAGACGTTCAAAAAAATCTTTGCACACAGACTGTTGTTTTAAAAATAGGTATTGAAAAATAAGGAGGAATGTTTTAGTCTATTTTGGCACTTTTTAAATAAAAAAACAACAACACAGCAGCATTGTCAGAGATCAGGGTAGAACTCATCTTGTTTAGCCCACTCATAACTAATCCGGAAGAGACAGAGCACAGGGAAATCCACAAGTTTTCAGGCAACACTGAGCTCCTGCGCGCTGGGAAATGCCCCACTAACAGGAAGGGAGGCACGGAGGGAAGACTGTGGGATGAACATGTCATCAACAGGCATGAGAGCAGGAAGTCAGACAGAAGCTTCGCCATTGGGAAGAGGGATATGATGCCTTTGGGGGGAAATAATACAAATAATACTCTAAGTACAGGTTATAAATTCTGACTTCTCACTTACACTTCTGGAAAGTAACCTAATAAATTAATTTTCAAATACTATTATGGTCACACAATCTTTATATTAAACTAAAGAATTTGTGGGCCAATGAATTTCTGTTACAGTTAATGATCAATGTCAAAATGGTAATAAGGAAAAATTTAGACCAGTTTTTATAATAACCTGGGATATATGAGCTCTGAGTTAGTGATAGTAATAGTAGTAGTTAGGCAGTAAGAGTGGGAATGGTTGGAATGAAATTATTTTTCTGTCTTATTATTTCTACCCCGAAACAAATGTAATACTTCTTTGAGATACAGGTAGAAATGCCTGCCGTATTCGACTTCTGGCATGATGCTTTATTGTACCTGTGAACAAATGCAATCCCACTGAATACAATGAGCATGTAATTTAGAGAGAAGGAAAACTGAGAACAGGAACAAGCATTTATATCTGATCTCTCAACTGTTCCTCAGTGCTCCTACACACTTAGGGTCCCTGGGACCCTAGAGATCCACAAAGTATAATTTTTTAAAGCAGGACCTACAGGACACAGATTATTCTTTCCAAATACCAGCCTGATTGGCAACAACAATCAAAGCATTAACAAAACTTGCAGGGAATTAACAGAAAGAGAATAAGAAATGAATTCAGAAAACATCATCTCATCCCAACTCAGGACAGTGCAGACAACTGCAAAAGGCCCAGAGATGACAAAAGGACCACAAGAATGCAGTGGTTTCTACCTGAAGACATGCCAAGCTAGGAAGAATCTCTTCAGTCTACACAACGAAGATTAATGGGAAGATGGCAAACTCTTAAAGCCCTAAAGGATATAGTAAGGATGAACATAAACTCATCAAATGCTGGAAAATGAGAACGTTGGATACAGGGGAGCAAGAGAGCCACAGCCCCTGTCCTCATGTCACTTAAACTCAAGTGAGAGAGACAGACAGTAAACAGGTGTTTTTACAAATAAACATTTACTCAGTTTTATCAAATCTAAAATTCCATTAATGGCAAGTTGTACCATTAATTGTAAGTCACCATTCATTGTAAGATATCTTCCAGGTTCAGAAAGAGTAAAGTGTGAAAAATGCATGAATTTTAGAACTGATAATATAACAGTTGATACAAGTGTGATAAGTGCCGTGAGAGCAAAGAAAGGGGTGCCAGCAAAACATGTATCCAGGATGGCAAAACCTGGGTGTGAGCGATGGCTTCACTATGGCAGTGACCTTGGATGGGAGTCCTGAAGGGTACACAGACCAGATAGGTGTAAAAGAGGAAAAGGCAATGCAAGGAGATGAAACACCGGCAGCTTTGCCATAGAGTCTGCGGGTGAGAAGGTGCTCAGGGCACTGAAGACACCAAAAGGCAGCTCAGGTGGCCAGAGAAAGAAGGGGAGAGGGGCTGAAGTTGGGGCTGGAGAGGAAGGCAGAGCAATTCTCATCCTGTGGGAGCTGAGCAGGTAACAGAAATAAGTGGTGGGAGGCAAGTCCATACAACAGAGGACGTTGGGGTCTGCAGCAAACTGAATAGGGCATGGCCAGTCTAATAATGCTTGAATCTAATTTTGTAAAACATTATGTGAGCCACGCAAAATATTTCTGAAGACTATATGTGGCCCAAAGGCTATCATATTAAAGAACTGGAGACTGCCGGGCATGGCTCAGCGGTTGAGCATCGACCTAGGATCCAGGAGACTGAGGTTCGATTCCCGGTCAGGACACATGCCCGGGTTGCGGGCTCGATCCCCAATCAGGAGCGTGCAGGAGGCAGCCGATCAATGACAACTCTCTCATCATTGATGTTTCTCTCTCTTTCCCTCTCCCTTTCTCTCTCTGAAATCAATAAAGATATATTTTTAAAAAAAATAAAAATAAAGAACTGGAGATTTACTATGAGAGTAATGGTGAGCCAAAAAAAATTAAAGCTAGGGTGTGAAGTCATCAGATTTATGTTTTAAAGGGATCATCACTCTAATATTGTTAAATGAAAAAAAAAGGTGCAAAACAATATATACTGCTATTTATATAAAAGGGGCAGAGGACAGAGTG